ATACAACCTCGACGCCATGTTTAACACGTGGAGTCACACTCACAATATTAAACAATGGCGTCGAAATTCATCATGCTGGCCTCCGTTTTACTGCTCACAATTCATTCAGGATGCAAGTAAAACTCTTCAGAATCACACTGTTACTTACCATTAAATTCTAGACTATTCAATCACTCAATAGGAATCTGAGAAATACTGCATCACGTGAGACCATTTAGCATTCACAAACATTGAAACATATCTATTTTGTGTTACTATTTTTAGATGCATTTATTGTTAGAAGGACCAAAACTAATAATATACCAGCATATAATTTCAAAAGTAGTAGAACAAGAATGTTGACAATAGTTAGAAAAATTGATGGAGACACAGAGGTATGATTATTGAGAATTTTGTTGACACCTTTGTTAATACCTTATTCAGCCTTACAACTCACATTACAGTATTTCCGTTATTATTAGGTTTTTTAAAAGTTAATTGTACAGTTAGTATCAACAGTATAGCCTACTATGAGGGAAGCCTGCCTGCATGATACTCTGTGAAAGAAAAATTTAAAATTTGTATGGCCAATGAGCATGGGCTATAGTACATGATATTTTGACTAGGAGTACGCACACATGTTCTTATGTTGTATCTTAAGTCCGATAAAAATTAAATTTTTACTAGAAAGAATGTTAAACATTAAGGGGATTTACCTAGAGATGTACCAATAATCGGTTGGCATATCGGATATTGGCTGGCATATCGGATATCGGCTTATCGGCCTGCTTTTTATAGTATCAGTTATTGGTTTCTTTCATGCATCTTGCAGATATAGCAACACATGGTCATATGCATGAGAATAAAGGGTTAATTAATTAATTTTAAGACACTATGAGCTAGAAAAAATGTCAAAATGATTCTATAACTGGGACTACTTAAAATTAGTCAAGGTAGTAAATTAGGAAGTGTATAAATCACATTGTACATGTGTAAATCTGTGCCTAAAAGGTAGGAAGGAAAATATCGGATCAGTATCGGTATTGGGCAGTATTGGCTATGTTAATATCGGAATATCGGCTAAAACCCATATCAGTACATCTCTAGTTTTGCCCTCTGGCCACACCTCCCAGTCAGGCTCAGATGCACGTACAGAAATTCTCACATCAGGGGACTTTGCCCATTAAATTTTGAAAGTTCCTTCAAAATTTAGTCAAACATGATTGGCTATAAATTAATTCAATTTTTTAAAGAGAAGATTAAGTGGGATTCACTTTGTTAAAAAACTGAAAGAAGTAATGAAAACAAGGGCAAGTAGAGTTTGAACAACTAAAATCTGAAATGAAAGTCCTACTAGTAGTCTCTCGTGACAAATCCAATTTTGATCGGAATCAGTTTAAATTTTTTATACAACATAAAAGCATGATATGTATTTGAAAAATGACAAAAAATTGATAGTGAAGTACCCTTAAGGCTGGTTTACAATATGACGTTAGGCCAGTGTACGGTCAATTTTTAATATAAATTTTGGGCAATTTGACCTTTTGACTCATGCTTTCTGCTAGAATAGAACCAGATTTTATTCTAGCATCAACATAACATGAGGACTATAAACCAGCATTTATAGTACTGGGTAAATTTGATTGGTTTACAACTCTTCATTACTTTATCTAGTATCTCTGCTTATATTGTATGACTGATGTACATGTATTTCTGTAGGTATCCAATGGTGGTAGGAGGGTCCAGTTGTTTGATGCTGATGCAGAGCAGGACGATGAAGGCGTATAAACTATAGGCTTATTAGTACTAGTGTTGTTCTAGTTTAACATTTTGTTTTGATTATAGTTCTAGCTTTCAAACTATTATCTTTAGTTCTATAGTTTTGATTCTTGTACTATGTGCTCTATTTCTAGTACATTAGCCTGCAGACTGAATTCTAGTGCTACATCAGCCTGAAAAATTCTTCTAAAATGTATGATTTGCCCATTTAATTTTAGTTATACTTCTAGCACCTATTTTGCCATTGCAAAGAATAATAATTTTAATTGTCATAGCACGTACAATATTGTCTTATAAATCAGGATGATTTACTCGAAGCCTCAGTAAACAATAGTAACTGACCAATATTAATAATTAGTGCAAATGCATTTTTCCTTAAACTCTTTCAATCCAAAACATTATTATCTGAACCAGGATCATGCAGGCTTGTCATACCAAAATGACAATTATGATAATTTAAGAAGAAACAATTCTGTACATTTTACCAATGGACACTGATACTCCCAGTAGGATCATCAGGTATGAAAAATTTTTAGAGACATGTTCAAGTGTCTTTTTCTGCTCAACATAATCAACCTATTTACAATCATTATTACAATAACATCACTTGGTATTGTCTAGTATATAATTGAGAAATATTTATGGGTAAATTAAATGTATGACCTTTGGATGATTTCTCAATGATGTAGTTCTCCAGCATTGTAATAAATAAAATACAAATAATGTCCTAAAATCCTATCTAGAATGCTCAATAATTGTCTGGGTAATGAAAATCAAGCCTAGTACATTCATATGAATGATGCAATTTTCCTTTATTGATTAGTCATTAGCAGCCTAGCAACTACATTTGCACCATACTCCGTTTCATTACTTACTGTAACGTACAGGTTACAATTAAATAATTGAAGTGAACTATTAATTTATGGCACAAGGTATACTAGAACTAGAACTGCAACTAAAATTAATTAGAGAAATGTAGAACTGGGGAACTAGAGTTCTTCAGGTTGGTGTACTATCTAAAACTAAACTTTTTGGCACATGGTACAAGAACTAGAACTATATAACTAAAGAGAATGTTTGGAAACAAGAACTATAATAAAAACAAAATTAATTAATGTTAAACTAGAACAACACTAGTACTATGAAGCCACATGTTCTTGACATGTGGCCATATGTTCACATATCTTCATCGTCCTGCTCTGCATCAGCATCAAACAACTGGACCCTCCTACCACCATTGGATACCTGTAGAAATACATGAACATCAGTCATACAATGCGAGGTACTAGATAAAGTAATGAAGATTTGTAGACCAATCAAGTTTAACCAAAGGCCCAGTACTATAGTACAGGGTATTTCACTATCCATTTTCATAATTTTTTCCAATAAATATACATGCCTTTATGTTACATTAAAAATCTGAGCTGGTTCCAACCATTATAGTTTCTTAAAAATCAGGCTAAAGGCCCCCATACACTAGGCAACATGTTGCTTGCAGCATTTGTGGTTACTTTGATCTTGTAAGCAACATGTTGTCAGAAATATAGAAAGCTGTTCTATTTCTGGCAAAATGATCAAAGTAACCACAAATGTTATTGTTTAGTGAGGAGTAAGGCTGGATTAGTGATATAAATTAGTTTACTACTGCACATGACATAACATTTTAGAGATAAACTGTGTAACAACTATGTAGATATCAGCAATAAGAAATTGCTCCACTGCTTCTCAAATGCTTAGACTTCACAGCCTTTCAATTCATTCCTGATCTGATAAAATCATAAAACATTTCTTTAAGTAACTTATTGTACAATAAGCACATATGGGGTAAAAATGTGAAATTGTGATAATACTACTGTACAAAAACAATTATTGAAAATGATGTGCTAGAATTAGAGCTAAAGATTTTTGGCACATACCTTAGGGTGGGTATTAATTGCGACACTTAATTTTAGCGTTTTTAGCGAGTGTACTTCAAATCGCTAATTCGACCACTCGCTAATAATAGTTATTATGTACTTGTGTAAACAAGTACACAAGATAGGCAAGATCTGTAACAAGATAACAGTAGATAGGGTGGTCCTGTTAAGTGTTCTGCTCTTAAATGTATAGATTGGGCTTCTTGAGTTGTGTTATGCTATTGAATGGGGACTTTACCATTGATTTCTTCCTATTTTCGCTAATATTACATTTTGCTAAATCAGGGTCCCCTTAAAAACGCTAAAATTTAAGAGCGCAATTAATACCTACCCTAAGGTAGTATAAAACCCCATGGAACTAAAATTAATCAGGCAATTGAACCGCTAGAACTAGAACTAGAACTAAAATTTTTTGGCACATAATATAAGAGCTAAAACTATAAAACTAAAGATAATGTACAAGAACTAGTGGAACTAGAACTAAAACAAATAGAATACTATCTAATAAGTTATAGTTCAGATGTCTTCATCGTCTTGTGCTGCATCAGCATCAAATAACTGGACCCTCCTACCACCAATGGATACCTACAGAAATACGTGTACATCAGTCATACAATGTAGACCAATCAAGTTTAACCAAAGTCCCAATCAATACAGTAAAGGGTATCTTTCATAATTTCTCTGATACATAAACATAGTGCTCTTAAATTTAAGCAGATTCCAATCTAAATTGAATTTAAGGGTGGGCAATATCGAATATTGTCTAACCAGTATGATATCTCATTTATAATTATGACAATTATTGTCTCAATCAATACTGTTATAATAATACTGATGATTTGTATGGTTTTGAAATGGTTCACTGCCAAGAATGCCAGCATAATTGTCTGGTTTAGTGATACCTTCTATTTTACTGCTTGTAATCAGCGGCAGAGGAACATACTGTATTTCCTTGAATTCTATTCGCATGTACTATTAATTTCAGAAGAAATAGCACAACAAGTACGAATAGCATTCAAGAGTGAAGACTAATAACTTCAGCTCCATTCATTAGCAGCTACCTTAGCTTTTAGAGCTTCCTCTACAGCTAACACGTGCAATTGTGTATTAATACTACTGCCCATGTGCAACATTATGGTAATACTTCACATATTGCCGTATAGCCAGAAAATTTGGCGGAGAATTAAATTTGGCGGAGAATTAAATTTGGCGGTTAAAAATAAAACTGCCAATATTGTAACCGTCAATAACAATTGTAATGATAGGTGGGTTGACTGGGTTCCATCATGAGCACATGATACTAAAAAATGTCAAAATGACAGTATTTCTAACTATTTCAGTCTAGACTGTGGGCAAGGCTGCCAAGGAGCAGCTTCAAAAAGAGCTGGGAGTTCTTAAAGAAAAGACAAGATGAAAAACCGCCAAATTAAGAGACCGCCAATATTACATTTAGGCAATTTTGATGCAAAACTGCCAAAGTTTTAGACCAAAGAATTTTCCAGCTATACAGTATTTCATCCAGCCTTCGTAATGGTGTGGATATAATTTAAGGACAAAAAGATTTCAAGGAAACATGGTAATTAAAACTGCGGGCGGGGCTGAACATCAAAATTTATTAAAATGGGTTGGTCTTGTTTAAAAAATGGCCGATACTTTTTACTGTTGAATTTTTTTAATGTTTTCTGGTGTTTTTTCTAAATAACACCAAAAACTACTGAGTGCAGGTGTAGTTAAACTGATAAAAGTTATTTTTATTTCAGTTTACAGAAAATTATTTGTGGGCGGGCTTGTTTCAGGATGGGGGGAGGGCTCTAGCCCCGCAGCCCTCCCCCCTGCCACCTATGCTTGTACAAAGAGATATGGCATCTAATTGCACGTACTACTGACAATAATAACAATATAAACAATAAACCAGTTTTATTTCTTAGATGCAATTACTAATAACTGTAGCTCAATATCACGATAGTTAATAAATACCGGTATATTGCCCATCCTTATATAGCCTATGGTATTTGGTCAAACTGGGAAGCAATTTTGTAAAAATCCAATTTTAATCGAAATCAAGTCAAACTTGATATACAACATAAGAACATGAGTGCATACTCCTAGTCAATTTTTATAAAATAATATTATAGCCTATGCTCTTTGGCTATACTGACAAAAGCAACTTTAAAATTTTCTTTTAAAGGGCATGCATGCAGGTACCTTCCCCTCATAATAGGCTATAGTGTATTACTTACAGTAAAATTAACTTTAAAACAACCCAATAATAATGGAACAACTGTAATGTGAGGTGCAAGACTGAACTATATGCTAAACTAAGACTGAACGAGGTTTTAAAAAGGGATTCTTAATCATTAAAATGCACATACCTCTGTGTCTCCATCAATTTTTTTTAATATTGTCAACGTTCTTGTTCCACCACTTTTGTAATTATGGTATGCTGGTATATTATTAGTTTTGGTCCTTCTAAGAAAGAGTGCATCTAAAAATAGTAACACAAAAATAGTGCTTGAATGTCTCACTTGATGCAGTATTTCTCAGATTCCTATTGAGTGATAGAATAGTCTAAAAGTTAATGGTAAGTAACAGTGTGATTCTGAAGAGTTTTACTTGCATCCTGAATGAATTGTGAGTAGTAAAACGGAGACCAGCATGATAAAACCTCGACGCCATTGTTTAATTGGTTGTAATATTAATTTATTAAATGTGAGT